TGCTGCAATTCGTATAACTTCGTTTCCGAACTCCTGATGGAGAAGTTCTCCGTTTGTTCTGAGGTGGACAGGTATAGTAAAGCAATTATGTTGTATGCATGTTCAGCAGACAGCGGACATCTCTTTGGGACACCTGATCTCCAGCACGTGCTTGGCCTTCCGCCATGCTTTGGCTGCACGAGCACGCTTTGATTTCGCGGGACACCAAAGCATCATCGAAGGCAAAAAGCTCGCGCCGAGGTCGGGACAAACGAAGGACCTCCCTGCTGGTCTCAATCTCGTCAGCGACTATAGAGGGGAAAAGATACAACGGCATGTGATCCTTGCAGCAATTTCCGTCTCTAAATAGGGTTTCTGTCGAAATGCAGTTTTTTTTTTTTTTTTTTTATCTCATGTAACGAACGAAAGGGTTGGCGACCTCATTACGCAAAAACAAGCTACCTTGGCTTCCTGTTCCCAAAACTTTAGGCGTTTGTAAAGTCTGCAAAGAAAGTCAGAAAGAGAGAAAGAGAGAGAACAAGCGAAAGGAACATACTTGAAATGGTCTGTCTTTTTCAAGAGATCGTGCGTCTCCGCTTGACAAAAATGGCAGGCTGCGAACTGCCAGCGTCCCCCATTTGAAATTCAAACGACTCCCTCGAAACGGCCTCAAACGACACCGTTCAACTACAACAAAAGGAGCCGTTGGAGATCAGATCACGTCGATTGACAAGACAACAGCCGCGGCAGAGACAGGCACGTCTTCATCATTGCGCGCGCGGCACCGACAACCAATCGTTGCCTTCGATCCCGCCGGTGATTGGCCGATCTGCGAGTGCGCCTTGACAGAAAGATGGCGCTCCTCCGGGAGCCGCCATCTTTGTTGGTGTCAAGCTCTTGACGTTTCGGGAATCCGTCCCCTTCTCTCTTTCTACCGCTCGACGTGCATAAACTCGCGAACTCTTACTTTGTAATTTTGCAGACGGCTTTTCGGAAACCTTAGTCCATGCTTTTGATTCCTGTTTCGGGGTTTTTGTCTCGTGTTTTTTGTTGTTATTTTGTTTCGGTGCTTCAGCCGATAGGTGTACGTCGCCTGCTTGTGTTTGGTTCTAGGCTGTTTGCTGTGTTTTCTTATTTGGCCTTAGTCGAGTCGTGATCGCTTATCGCTTTGAGAAACTGCAGACGAAACCGAATACACCGCGTCGTGGCTACCGGCTGTCAGTTTGATTGGACGGTAAACAACACGAAGGAAAGTGATGGGGGACGGTGGTTGCCAGACAGCTTTTCTAGTTCCGCTTTATCTCGACCCGGGGAAAGGTTTTTCGTCGCGTCTGACACTAGCGGTCTCAATTTTGCCTTGTCTTCGGTGCATCGCCCCCTTGTTTGTTTTTCTGACAGAGAGACTGGTGGTGTTTATGGGCGATAACTTTTACGGAGACGTTGGAGTCAAAGCTACGACTCAGACTCTGTGAACGGCTTCGTAACAGCTTCGGAGGAAGGCAAGAGTGGCTGTGCGTCTGACTAACGAACACTAAAATGGTCACAGTAGAGTCATGCCTTGTTTATTGGAGCTCTTTAAGGCCTAGTACGCGGTCGTATATTGAAGTCTTTTGTTAACCGAGCAAAATTTGGAAACCTGTAAGCTTCGTTCGTTCGGTTCAGCAAGTATGGTTGACGTGGTAGTGTGGCTAAGGTTCAACGTTTTCTTTTTTTTTTTTCTTTTTTCTTTTTTTTTTGAGCTGGAAGTTTGGCATGCGTTTATTTATTGTGCGCATGCGCGAAAAAAAAGAAACAAGCTCGTTTTGCCTGGTGGAGGAGGAATGGAGCATTGTAACAAACTAACCGTATTAAGTTTATATCTAGGCTCTTATACTGATTAACATTTGGAGTTTTACACAGGCTATTTTACAGTGTGGGGAAGCACTTTAAGTACATTGAACTTAAAGTACTACTTCCACTAGGTTCAGAAAACTTGCACTTTAAGTGAAGTACATTATCTGAGGGTGTACTTGTACTTTACCTGAAGCATTTCTTTCTGGTACTTTCCGAGGAAAGTCCAACCGGTTGCACGACTGCTGCCGAGGAGTCACTCGTGGGGACAGAGCTGTTGGTACAATTAACTCCCGACTTTAAAGTACATTTCCCAAATTTGGTTTTGTTAAATTTGTATCACAAAATAATGCTTTGTCAACTCTGAAGATACACTGGGAGGGATATTCTACTCTCACCAGAAACGTGAGCAGACGACGCATCCCTCCGTTTATCCTGGAAGGTGGCTTTTCCGTAGCTTTGCGAACTATCGCTACGTTTTGCTCGGTCAGTGAAAGCGAGGCAGTTAAAAATATCAGCAGAGAACAATTAATCACAATGTAACGCCCGAAACTGTGGTGCGGAAAAAACTAGGAAACTTTGAAGTCTAGTAAAAATATAACAGAGGAGACCGTCTGAATGTTTTGAGGCGTTCTCCTCTGATGTCTTTTCCTTTGACTTGAAAGCTCCTTAATTTTTCCGCACCATAGTCTCGGGTGTCACCAATGGCGTCACCAGTGGGGGGGGGGGGGGGGGGGGGGGGGGAGAGAGAGAGAGGGGGGCACCGCTCCGGGTGCCGCTGACCCTCGTAACGTCACTGGGTTTCAAGAGGATTGCTTGCAGGAGCTACGGGGCTGGCGTCATGCTCTCTGCAACAAGCTAGTGCAAGCGGCGTCAAATTCAGAAGTCGGAAGGGCATCTGAATTTCGCGTCATTTCTGATATAACTACTTTGTGGCCACTCGACTGTATCCAATATTCGCCACCATTTCCGAAAATCATTTATGCATCCCCGGTTACCCTTGGGTAATGCATACCAGTTAAAAAAAAATCGCTGTAGAGGTGAATGAAAGGGTATCATGAAAGATTGTGTTAAAAAAGTACTTGTACTTTACTTTGAAAGTTCTTTCTATATGCAGTACTTTAATTGAAGTACATTGCACCCAGTATACTTACAACTTTACTTAAAGTATTGCGCCCAGTGTACTTACAACTTTATTTGAAGTACATCCCCTCTCATTTACCTTGTGACTTTACTTGAAGTACTTTTTATGTGTGCTTTACCCAACACTGCTATTTTACGAATAGTTGAAGTGAAACCTTGTCGAATATCGGCAAAAGTCCGAAGGTTAATTCCAGGTTCGGCAGAGGTTCGCGTATATCCCTATTGCTCAGCTAAGTGAAAGATCGACTGAAACGCCCTCTGTGTTCTGCGTGGCCGAGTAGCGCAGAACCGAATGCACCACCCGTGCAATTATGACCGTGCGGACTCGGTCGAACGGAGCTTCATTCCACGAAAGTCAAAACAATACATAAACTGGACTCAACAGGTATACAAAGAACAACAGGTGGCTACGCATGCCTGGACACGCGGCAGAGACACCTGGCGTGTGTTCTGCATTGTTCCGCCCTGTCTTTTGTGGAACTTTTTCGGTGGCACTGATTGTTTCGAAGTAGTCGCGGTATTCGGTCGCGCGCTGCTGGTTGCACCTGCGCGCCGGTAGATGGCGTGCGTGTTCCGGAATAAAAGATAAAAAAAGGAAGAGAGAGAAAGAGAGGGAAAAGAAAGACCGTGCAGTGGCGAAGTGTGTTTTCGTGTTTCGCGTTTGAGCAAGGCGAGCGCTGTCCGTATGCTTGCCTGTTAGATATCTGATTTGCTGTAGCAAACCGCCGGAGCGAGTCGCTTGTGTGTATGTGTGTTGGGGGGGGGGGGGGGGGGGGGGTGATTGCGATCTTAAAATGCGAAAGCACTTGGGCGCTCCGATGTTGCGGATTTCTTTTAAATCGGTTGAGACACCTCACTCGTTCTTAGCGGCCTCTGACGGGAACCATTAGGTGGTGCCAGACTACGAAAAATGCGGAGTAGCAGCTGCTTGTTACGGTTGTCTGCAGAGGCCAGAAGTCATAAAATGGCCGTCATGTTTGGATCACGCAACATCGCTGAGAAAAGATTTCGACTCAAGAGGTCAACGAGTCTAGAGGTCCAAAAGAGTCAGGAAATCTAACCAGTCAGGAGATCCAACGAATCAGCAGATCAAGTATCAAAGCTCTTCAATTGTTGATGTTCTTCACTTGGTAGACTTCTTGACTAGCCTCGGATTTCTCGACTCGTTGCATCTCTTGATCATATCGGATGTCTGAACTCGTTGGATCTCTCGACTCGTTAGATTTCTTGCCTCGTTGGATCTCTTGGCTGTCATGTGACAGTTGAATCGCTTGACTCTTTGGGTCTCTTCATTCGGTGGTTCCCTTTAATTGTTAGAACTCTTGACTTCATTGGATTTCTTGACTCTGCAATTATGTGCCTGTTGTCTCTCTTTACCTTTTGTTGTGTCCTTTCACTCAATAGATCCGTTGAGTCTCTTGAGTCTTGATTGATTTAGGGTCTTTTGCCTTGTTGGATCATTTGACTTGTCTGTCACGGGACCGTCGAATCTCTTGACTCGTTAGATCCTTGACCAGAAGCAACGTTAAAAAAGGTGACGGCCATTTTGGTTTCGTCCGGTACGGAGGTGCCCGTAGAGTGATACAGAGCCTAAAAGAGGAAGCGGAGCTGGTTACCAGACTGGCCCGGGAAAGGGAGATTGAATTTCCTGCGCGGTGACAACGCTTGATGAGCGCTCAATCTGGCGACTGCGGGCGCACAGGCGACCGGACGTGGCTGCCTAAGAGCCACCGACCCTTCCATGCTGTCGTCTCGGAAATAGGGCCTGGCAAGTGTTTCTCCTGAAACGTGACTAATAACCGCCTTTGTGCGTCATTTTACTGACGAAGCGACACGAGATGGTTACAAGCTAAAATGGCTGCAAACATATTTCATCCGATATATCTTGGAGAGGAACGGCGGTTGGTGAACAACAACAGATGATATACTGCGAACGGTTCTTTTCCCCTACTTTAGCCAATTTAGGCAGTATACGCCTGAGCTGCTGTTTTTTGTAAGCAACGCTGTGTTTCTGATTTAACCTCTTTTTTTTTTTTTTCCCTTTGCAGGGGTGGCAAGTTCATCAGCATTGGCGAGCATATCCGGTTGCCTGACGACGTCACCATGGGTTACATCGTCGGTAAGGACCCTTGTTCATGACAACTTACTGTTATTGAAGATCTAATTTTTGTATGCAGGAGAGACCGTTGGGGTCATTTTACGTTGCCTGTTAAATTTTAATACAAATGAGTTCCAACTCGAAAATGACTGAAATATAATTAGAATTCCGTGTTTTCTGAGTTTATTTCTAGTGAAATTCGGAAGGAGTTTTTCGGAGTTTGTTTTTCGATGAAAATTCGAGGTCTATTAGGGTTTATTTTTGTTAGATTCCCAATTCTCTGAAATTCGGAGTTTATTTTACTGTCTTCCCAATTTTTGAAAATTTAAGAACAAAATAAATAAAATCCGGGTATCATGACCCGTTGTCCTAAAGAAACCTTGACGAACTGAAAGGCCAACCCCTTTTGACGAAAATAATCTCTGGAGAAGGGGAACAAGAGGGACAAAGGACAAACGCAAATCTCCAAACACAGATAGGTTTCATTAGTTCGAGATTTCAAAGGAAACTGAAGTGGCATTTCCTGAGGACCACTGACCCGGCGATCTTACGAAGTTTATTAGTGAAACACCTTCATTTTATTTTTATTTTCCCGTTGTGACCTCGAAATTCGGAGTTTTTCGGATAAATCAGAATTAATGGAAGCCTTATCCCAAGCAGTTTTGATTTCCATGTTGCTTATTGACTGTGTAACAGGTCTCGTGTACATGCTGTTTTCTGATTGGGTGCCACTGCTTCGTCAGTTTTTAATCAAACGCTATCCTCTAATTTGGGTCAAGATTAGTGCGTTTGCCTGTTGTTATTGGTACCTTATAAATGACAATGCGGTGCGAATTCCGACAGAGTTCATGTAGTAATACGAGAGGTGATATAAGTTTCGCGTCCTAGGCTCTAACTTTTTTATTCCGCGGTGGAATTGAGAGATGTTAAATTCGAATGAAAGTTTGGAATCTCCTCTTTATTAGGAGCAGACAACTTTTCAATTTAGTCTCTGCCGGCGGCGATGCAGTTCCGCTACCGGTGGACTACTCTCCGCATACCGTTGTAGATGATTGAGGGCGGCTGCTGACAAGACCAGCGGCGCACTGCATCGGCAACCTCGTCGTCGGACGCAAACCGTGTACCTTTCAGCCGTCCCTTTACCTTAGAAAATAGCCAAAAATATGATGGCGCGAGGTCCGCGGTTTTTAAGGTGAATGAGGCAAAACATCTTGGAACTGCCGCTCCTTCAGCTCGGCGTCGGTCTCATCTACAGCTGTCCTCAATCATCTACGAAGACGTGCACCGTCAGCAGAAGTGCATCGTCGCCGGTGGGGACTACATTGAAAAGTTACGCGCTCCTGAGAAAGAGGAGATCCCAAACTTTAATTTGAACGACATCTTTCATCTCCATCAGTGAATAAAAAAGTTACAGCCTAGGGGGTAAAACTTAGTAATCTTCGTTGTTGGTCGCGGACTGCTCTTATCGCTTGGTGCTGACACCTCATTGGCTGAGCAGTAATAACGAGACGATTGGAGCTGACTAATCCAAATCATGCCATAACCAACGTGTCAGAGACAACTGGTATATATAATATTTGGCACTACCCTCTTAACGAGATAAACGAAAGTGAACAGCGAAGCAGGTTTTTGTGATTCACTGTCGGACGTTGTCCCCGAATACGTGCTGCACCTCGAAACATTCTGTAACCAATCATGTCTTCCTTTTATCAGCTCCACCAATGGAAAGCGCGATCGGTATCGTGCTTCGATGGTGCCGCGCATGCGTCCACAGTGTAGTGACTCGGCACTTTTCGCTTGGGGGATAAACCCTGAAAGGTCTTAACGTGTAGATGTTTCTGAGATTGTACTCAATGATGAGACATTGGCTCATCGCTTACGCTGTATGATTTTGTTGTTGTCGTCTCATTTTAAATAGAACACCTGCTCAAGAAGAAGTTGACGGTTGTGGAGAACTTCCACTCCCACTTGGAGCCGATGAAGTTCCTCAAGAAAGAAGCACTCAGCGATCAGGTTGGTGCCATCAAGTTGCTCTGTTTTAGATGCGTATTGCACTAGCCAGGGGGCGCAACGAGCGGTCGACCTACAACGTGTTGCAAACTAAATGGTGTATCTTTGAAAGAACTAGAAACGCGAATGCCTGGGTGTAGGAGGCTAACATTTCGTTCGAAAGTGGTTCCTGACATTCACTTGCACCAAGTTAAGTTTGCGATCATAGCTCCATCCATATACAAGATAGGAACTAAATGTCGCTTCTTTTCAATATCTCTATTATTTATGTTAACTACTGTCCTTCTTTGAATACTTCGACCGGGGACAAAAGAGTTTGTTTCTATATTTATTTTGGGGCTGTACGGTTATATATAAAGTGTCCTTCAATTTAAACGATTACCCATAAGTGCACCGTGGCGAGGTGTTTTCGAAGTGTGTCATAGTGTCGAGGACTGTCCGTATTTGCGCTACACAAGTGAAAGCTGTTGTTCTCGTACAAGGTTAACCTGCGCACCGAGACCTCTCGCACGTTGAGAACTTGCTGTTTGCAGGCGCGGGAAAAATTGAACGTTGAGGTTGGCATCACCTTCATTTGCCGTTTTCTCAGTGGCTATTTTTAATTTAGAGATAATAAATAGCGTGCCGGAAGGAGTAATGCCGGAGTCTTCCGAAAATGTGTTTAATACAACTGCCTAAAAAAAATGCCGCTGTATTTTTTTTGTATTTTTTTTTTAAGTTGTGGAACGTCATTAATCACTGCAGATAATGTATACACATCGTGATGTTTTATTATGAGTTACTGAGGAGAGCGCTTTTCATTGCGGCTGAAATCATTTATCATCCCTGACGGGTTTTTTTTTTTTTTTTTTTTTTTTTCTTTTTCCTCTGAAATTGCCAAAGCATTATTATTTACGGAAACACCGTAATCTTCTTTCGTGACTTGACGGAATATCCGCTTTTTGTTCGCCGAGAAGAGTTTAGGCTTTGTCAGGTGTTTTCAGTCGTACAGTCATTGAGCTTCCAGTTTTGGGTTGTTACTCCGAGCTTACGCCCGGCGGGAGGAAGCCCGTGCTAATAGCGAGTTTTAGTAGACCGTGTTTCCCGCTCCGCTAGCCCTCCGCTACGAAGAAACCGCCACTGCGCCTGCGCGCCGATGGCCTTGGCTGTAGAGTTCCGGGTAGCGGAGGGGGTTAGCGGAGCGGGAAACACGGTCTACTAAAACTCGCTAATAGGGAGTTGTAGTAGATCGTTTTTCTCCTCCGCTACGGTATCCCCGAAGAAAACGCCGCAGCTGCGCATGCGCGCCCCCAGCCTTGTCTGCATAGTTCAAGGTATTGTGGCGGATTACGGAGCGCCATCCGGGTGCTTAGCGGGCTGCGGAAACGCTCTACTACAATTCCCTAATATGATCCCCTTTTTACGGATGGCTGTATACCGTATTTTGCTGACAATAGAGAGTTTTAGTAGATCGTTCCTATGACTCCGATAACGATGCCCGACACTCCACCGCCGCCTTTGCGCATACATCGTATCGATATCAGGGGTATCCGGAACGGTCAACTAAAACTCTCTAATAGTCCGCGAACTACCTGCAGGTCAAGATTTATTTTTATGACGAGACCTTACGTATTATTGGTATGGAAGATTATGCTAATGATAATCTTTGCATGACACAAGCTTTTTTTTTTTGTGCTCTATTAAAGTTGCCATTTCTAAAATGCGCTGTCTTTTTTTTTTTTTTTTTTTATCTGCGGAATACGTCTTAGGTGCAAATAACGCGCCGGAGAAACTATTTTTTTAATTTGAATTTTGTTTTGGAGGATTATGCACAGGGTTCGGACTACGGGAAGTATGGTATATTTCCACGTTGTTTTTTCGGTCGGTCACACGAGAGCGACGTGGCAGTAATAAAATAAATAAAACATACTGAGGCATCGTATTTCGGAGGCTCACGTGTACCTATGCGACATTCCGTTATGCCCTATCTACCAACTGGAGCGTATCGCGGCGTGAGATCTGCCCTTTCCAAACAACGTTCCGTCCGATGTCCATCCAATGTGCCGAAGCACGTGGGAAATGGACTTTAATGCCCAACACATTGATTTTATTGTTCTATATACGCTAAGCTTAGTGCCCAATGCACCGAAGCGCGTTGGGCTTTATACGCTCAGCTTTTTTTTTTTTTTGTTTCTTTGTAGGCGTTAATTTGGAACAAGAAAGGGCACCGACGGATGCTCCTCCCTTTCTGTGACGTCATAAGAATAGCGCGTTCCCATTGGGTGTCGTAATGAGATTGCGGCTGAGGCCAGAATCTCATTGGATGCAGAGCGATAATTAGATGCTGGGGACAAATTCTCACCACGCCCAGCGTCTGTTAGGCTGTCGGTGATTGTGGTGGTATAGCAATCGGATCGGATGGAACCAATCAGGCGGCGTCACAAGTGCGATGTCGCCTTTGTGCGTTGTCTGCTGTACCTTCACAACCAGTCAGGCATATATCTCATTCAGCACTGCGGCTTTGTTATTTAAGAGGTGTTGCGCGGCGCCTTCTCCTCCCTGGCACCGCGCCAGCTGTGCGCGTGGCTTTGAGGAAAACGAAAGGGACGCGTTTTGACGAAAACTCGGCGGTGTCTGTCAGTTTGTCAGCGCCGGGGAGAGAGGGAGAGGTTGACGCGTGCTGACGTCAGCACTTCGGACCAATGGGAGCGTCCCACGCGCCACCCTCTCCCCCTCCTTCTTTCTCTCTTCCCGGCGCTGAAAAAACGAAAGAGGCCCCCGGGTTTTCGTCAAAACGAGCGTTCTAATGGTAACGCAATAACACGAAAAACACGTGGAGACATGGGCTGTGGTAAGAATTCATTCCTTATCTTTTGAAAGCAATTGGGGAACGCCACTGAGGACGTGAACGAAATACCATATAGAGGACAAGGCCTGCCTCCCCCCCCCCCCTTTCCCTCCACACACACACTCACAGAGACGCACACAAAGCGTCATCACAAGTAGATCCGCGCAGCGGCGCCTAGCTTGCTTCAGCATCGTCTGCAGCGCCGTCTTGCGGCGTCTCATAGCGAGCGCGACGCTGGCAGACGCCAAGACGGACGCGTCTCCCGCCTCTCGTCGGGCTGTGCTTGCCGCTTGGGGAGGGTCGGCGGCCCACTAAGGATGACGTCACGCAGTGGCCTTGTTTTGTAGCTGGTAGTGCGTGAACCCGCGGCGATTAGAAGAACGCGTCGAGGAAAATTAAAGAAAAGGGGAAGCTGGCGGACCGGTAATTGGAACTAATTTAGCGGAGCGTCGCTATCTTTCTTTCTGACTTAAAAAAAAAAACAAGAAAAAAAAAAAAACGAAGACAGGTCTTGCGTAACGTGGTTCCGTGGGCAATCGTCCATAAAAAAAAAAAAAAAAAAAAAAAAAAACACGAAATTTATAGTCGTCCCTCAGTCGCTGTTCCGAACGCTTTGCTGACATCCACCGTAACTAGTTTAAGAAGCCTCCGGCATCGAAAAAAAAAGAACCCAAAACCGGTTAAGCAGTATTTAAAAAAAAAAAAAAAAAAGCGACAGAGAAGCGAAATCCGGATATTCGACATTTCTGCATGTTCACAACTGGTCAGAGCTGGCTCTATATTCCGTTTCACAATACAATTTCACGGGCGTCTGATGATGAAAACGAGCGGATCGGCTTCGCGGTTGCAATTCGAACGCCAGTCCGAATGCACCTCGAATGCACATTACTACCGTGTGCCTTAACACCTCTTAACATCTTTTACGACGAGAGCAGAGTCTTTCTTTCTTGGCGTGAATGGACAATGTCATAAACAATCATTTCTCGTAGATAGTGCGTACACTCGGTTTCGCAAATACCACACAACTTCCGATCCGGTGAAATCTAGTTCCATGGCCACTTCACAGATGGCGCCAGCGTGCCAGTCTCACGTCGTATGATACCAGGACATCTCGGTTGTCTCGGTCCTAAGCAACGTTACTGTCCTAAGCAAACGCAATTATGTGAACGGGTCTTAAAAGTCCGACCTATAGACGTCTGTAAGTACGGCCTCTGGTCGTCGCCATCTTCCTGCTGGTGCGGGAAGATCGTCTGATAGTCGAGCATAGCTGAGGCCGTAAGTACGCCTCATTGGGCAGTTGTCTGACACCATAATATATCGCCGGAGGGGGGGGGGGGGGGGGGGGGGGTCAAGGTCCCTTTACGCATATCGTATAAATTAGTGAGCAAAGCCGACGTTTTTAGTGAAGAGGACGATAGGATGCCGCCATGCTTTCAAGGGTGGTGAGATGTGTTAAAATTCTTTGATCATCGAAACTTCACAAAGGCCGGCAACAATTTCAGCTCCGGACATATTTTCCGGTTACCAGTTGCTATCAAGTTCACATTCTTAATGAAGTGATACCGTACTGGATGGGGCATCCAGATCTTCATGACGAACTGCCCTGCCATCCTACATCTCCAAATGGCATGCAGGTTGAGCAAAATACGAGATCATAGCCCGCTTTAGTTTCTCTGACCCTACGGTCAACTCCAACCAACATAGGAAACCCATTTTCTGTGCAAGCTTTGGCATAAATAAGATATCGTCTGGGCGGTTACAAGTGGACGCGGTCGCTTGTCTAACCCGGAGGGCGTCGAGGCGGAGATGGATGCTCAACAGGAAGCACGCTGACAGACTTGGCTTGTGAACCAATCATTGATGCGCCAATGTCCGAAGTGGATTTTGCTGGGTCGGAGTGTTCGATCCTTTCAGCGGTGACGGATTGCAGAGTTCTAGACACCGCGAGACGTCTGCGTCTTTGTGGTATTGCGGCAGTAATCTTCGAAGAGGGTGAGGTTCTTCTCGTTAAAAGTTCGACCATATATCTTCCAGCAAGGACGTTCGCAGCTCTGCAATCGTGTGACTTCTTTTGGGCATCGGCGTGGGAACTTTCATTTTTTGTTTCCAGTGAAGGATGTCGAAATGAAGCTGCGGAGAGAGAGACAACATTTTCCCCTTTTGGCGCAGTTTACTG